GTTCAGTAGGATTGCTTTCTAGCGTGATTCAGCTTGAAGCAGATGAAGCGAGAGTGATTGTCACTGTATAAATGGTTTGTGATTCACGTTTGTTTGTTTGTTGTGAGAGTTGTGTAGTTGCCGCTGACTCTCTGAGTGAGTGTCATGTCTTGTCTGTCTGTTTATGTGTGTATAACCCCGCAACTTGATGAATGTTCTTCCAATGAGAATACGAAGCTTCCCTATTTGTCTAGAGCAATTAAATTGATAACGCAACCCTGATGATGTACCTATTTACGGCATCTCTCATTCATTGGCTCTCCGCATTCCGTGGCCATCATCGGCGTCATCAGCTCCCCACTTGAGCTTCCAAGCTCAGCTGTCTTCTTACAGTCCGTCAGCTTATCACTGTTGGTCGTGTGAGTGGAAAAAAACTCATAATCTTACTTGAATATCTACTACGTCTTGGCTACTTTGGTTTGTTCCTCCTAAAACTATTTTGAAAGTCTTTATCCATCTTCCGCTTGAGCCTCACCGCCAAGACCTTGGCTCGTTGAGGTATTAGTCCTCATCCTCGTCTTCCGACATGGATTTCCTTAAGAAGGTCGGCGAGCACGTCGAGAGCGTTTTGAACAAGAAAGACGATGATGATAAGCATGACTCTCAATCACAATCTCACGGCGGACAGAGTCAGCAGTCCCATGGGCAAGATTACGGCTATAGCCAGTCTCAAGGACAAGGCCAGTATGGAAGTCAAGGTTATGGCCAATCTCAAGGCCATGGCAGTCAGAGCTACGGAAATCAGGGATATGGCAACCAAGGTCCTTCTCAAGGCTACGGGCAGTCCCAGGGCTATGGAGACTCAGGCTACGGCAACCAAGGTCCTCCTCAGAGCTATGGGCAATCTCAGGGTTATGGGCAGTCTCAAAACTACGGACAGTCCCAAGGATATGGTAACCAAGGCTACGGCAACCAGGGACAGGGAAGTCAGGGCCATGGAAGCCAAGGCTATGGCTCTCAAGGTCACGGCAGCCAAGGCTATGGTTCCCAAGGCCCATCTCAAGGAGGCTATGACCGACCACCAAGCGATGGTCGTCCACAAGGAGGAAAGCCATCTCACAAGGATGACCAGGCTCATGATTCTGCTGCCCAATATCTCCAAAGGCAGCAGGCAGTGAACCGATATCATTCATTTGCCTCAGAGTCCAAGGGCAACGTCAAGTGGTACGTCGATGGTGCTTCATACTTCTGGGCCGTCTCCCAGGCCCTTGAGCGTAAGTCACAGCAACCCAGAAATTGAATTCAATAATTCTCTGACATGTCAATTCTAGAGGCGCAGGAAAGTATTTACATTCTCGATTGGTGGTTGAGTCCTGAGTTGTATCTTCGCCGCCCCCCTGCTAAGAACGAGCAATACCGTCTGGATCGAATGCTCCAACAGGCCGCTCAGCGTGGCGTTCAGATTTATATCATTGTGTATAAGGAGGTTGAAGCAGCTTTGACTCTCAACAGCAGCCATACGAGAACTGCTCTTGAAGCGCTGCACAAGAACATTCATGTCTTCCGTCATCCTGACCACTTGCCTACGGGTTACGACCTGCAGAGGGAATTGGGCAAATCTATCAAGGCTTTGACCAACTTTGATCTTGCCAAAGCCTCTGGAGATGCTATCAAGGCTGTCTACGGTACTGCTGATGGAGTTGTGCTATACTGGGCGCATCACGAGAAGCTCCTTGTCATTGACAACGGCAAGATTGGGTTTATGGGAGGACTGGATATGTGTAAGAACCCCTTGTTTTACTCATAAAGAGAAATGCTAACTCTTGTGACTCAAGGCTTTGGAAGATGGGATACAAACAGTAAGTTTGTGTGTTGTATAGGGGAAGTTGTCACTCACCGTTTCAACTAGGTCACCCCATCGCCGACGCTCATCCCGGTAACTTGGATGCTATTATTTTCCCAGGACAAGACTACAACAATGCTAGGTATGTCTTGTTTTCGAAAAGAAAAGTTAAGAGTCATATTAACAAGATTTCTCAGAGTCTATGACTTCGCTGATGTTAAGGACTGGGATCAAAACAAGCGTAAGTCATTCCTCTAATCGGAGCATTTCTTAAGGAAACCATAACTGATTCAATCTAGTGGACCGAACCAAGAGCTCGAGAATGGGTTGGTCAGACGTTGCTCTGAGCATGAACGGACCTATCACCCGTGACATGGTCGATCACTTTATCGACCGATGGTAAGTCGTCACAACTTCTAGTTCATCTATATGGTCTCTAACTATGCACAGGAACTTCATCTTCAAAGATAAGTACAAGGAGAAGAATCCAGGCAAGTATCACAAGCTCGAGCTGCCACCACGGGACACTTCCGGCTCTGGAGATAGACGATCAAGGGGTGATGATGACTATCTGGGTGGCTTGACACAGCAGTTTAGCCGTGGCATGGATCGACTGAGATCGTTTGGTGAACATGATGACTCTCATCGTGACCGTGGGCACAGATCTGAAAGTCGTGGTGACATGCCTCACATCCAGATGATTCGAAGGTGAGTTCACTTGATTCCTCCCTATTCTATGGGTTTAAGTGTATAAAACTTACTAATATGGTACAGCTGTGCTGAGTGGTCGTCTGGTCACCCTCTTGAGCGTTCGATCCAGAACGCATACATCGACGCCATCAAGAACTCTAGGTTCTACGTTTACATTGAGAACCAAGTAAGTGAACTTTTAGCTTTCCTTAGATTTACAACCATTTGCTAACGAATCAGTTCTTCATCACTGCTACCGATGATAAGCAACGAGTTGTTAAGAACAAGATCGGTGCTGCGTTGGTAGAACGAATTATCCGCGCTGACCATGAAGGAACACCCTTCCATGTCTGGGTTTTGATGCCAGCCGTCCCGGCCTTTGCAGGAGACTTGCAGGGCGAGGGAGCTCTAGGAACCAGAGCCATCATGGAGTTTCAATATGACTCGATCTCACGTGGTGGGTACAGTATCATCGAGAAGCTTCAGAAGGCAGGCATCCGAGATACATCCAGATACATCGGATTCTACAACCTTCGAAACTTTGATCGAATCAATATTTCCAAGACAATGGCTGATGCCGAAGCCCGAACTGGTGTGTCATACGAAGAGGCTCGAAAGGAGAGAGACCGTGAACTGGGCGGTTACCCAGATGAGGGATCTGGAAGGGCAGCACGCGATCAGTACCAACAGAGTCGAGGCGACTTTTCAAGCTCACGAGGAGGTGATAACTACGAAAGTCGAGGTTATGGGGACCGATCTCAGCACGATGATTACCGCCAGGAGTCTCAGAGGGGCTACAACTCCCGACCAGACAGCAGACGCCAGGACGATGACTACCGTGGAGGTCACTCTGGGTCCAAATACAGACGCGATAGCGACAGTGATGATGACCGCCGAGGTGGCCGCCACAGTAGACGGCGTGACAGTGATAGCGACGACGAACGTCGAGGCGACAAGTATGGGCGTCAACCAGCCCGAGATCCCTATGCCCACCCTGGAGCCGATCCTCGATTTGAGTCTAGGCCCCAAGGATATTCTCAACAGGGATATGGACGCGATGACGACTATCGTGGCTCCTCACAGCAAAGTTACGGTGGGCGAGGTGACTACGGGGAACGGCCAGATGCAGGATATGGACGACCTGGGCGCAATCCCTATGAGCATCCTCAAGCTGACCCACGGTATAGTGGGAGACAGGAATCTGATAGCTATGGCTCCCGCCGCGATGATCGCCCACAGTATAGTGAACACTCGAGCTCTTCCCGATATGAAAGTCGACAGGAACAGCGTTACTCAGGCCACTCTGATCCAAGATATGATGACCAGCCGCAGCGACAAGAGCAAGGAGGCTATTCCCAGGGAGGTCATTCCCAAGGAGGTGGAGCAGATTCGTACCAGAGATACCAACAGGGGGCTAGCAAAGTTGGCGATAACACTCTCGACACTATCAGCTCCTGCTACATGGACAAAGGACCTAGAGTCACTGATCTACGCTGGGATGGCAACCCTGAAGACGAGATTAACGCTTTCGTCTCTGAGGAGTTGTACATCCACAGCAAGCTTCTCATCGTCGATGACCAACTTGTTATTTGTGGCTCAGCCAACTTGAACGACCGCTCACAACTCGGCGACCACGACTCTGAAATCGCAGTTGTCATCGAAGACCCTACACCTGTAGAGTCATATATGAATGGACGTCCTTACACGGCCTCTCGCTTCGCTGCTTCTCTGCGCCGCTTCCTCTTCCGCAAGCACCTCGGCCTTGTTCCCGATCAACGCTGGGATCAACCAAACCGAAACTGGACACCCGTCGACCGAGACCCCAACGATTACGACTGGGGTTCTCCAGCTGATCATCTCGTCGTTGATCCGCTCAGCCCAGATTTCCAACGTCTCTGGACCAGCACTGCTCGTGTGAACACCGAGACATTTGATCGAGCATTCCACCCTGTTCCCACCAACAGAGTCAGGACTTGGAAGGAGTACGACACTTTCTTCTCTCAGTACTTCATCATCCCTGGTAAGAAAGATCAGGATGTCAAGGCAGAGCTCAAGAAGGGCAAGGTCGAGTATGGCCACATTGTGAAATCTGAGTTCCCTGGTGGTGTGAGGGAGGTCAGGGAGTGGTTGTCACGAATCCGTGGTACACTCGTTGAGATGCCTCTTGATTTCTTGGTTGATGCTGGAGATATCGCTAAGGAAGGTTTGACCTTGAATAATCTCACAAACGAGCTCTATACTTGATTGCGGTCAGGGTTGGAGTATTTGGACACAAAGGGGGTAAACGCTTGGAACTGGTTCTTTGTATCTTGCTTCGTTCATAGATCAATATTAGACATGGACTAAACTTAAGAGATATCTCAAATACGGAGTATCAGCGTGGTTCTTCTTGACATTTGTGAAGAGCTTCTGGTATTCGGCATTCTACTCTTCTTTGTAGCAATCCTTGATGGCCGTGGCCAGGTCATCATCTACAACACCCAGTACATCAGCGAGATGATCGACCGCCGCCTGAGTGTTTGACAAGATTAGTGAACTCCGGCATAATCGACAAGTTGTTCTCCTGGCCATCCACGTTGAAAGCAGTATATAGCTGCTCGTCCAAGAACCAGTGATCCATATCTCTGATGAATCGATTGTATAAGAAGAGACTTTCAGAAGTTGCTTTTACTTGAAGCGCCATTTCTGGTTGAGTATCTTTGATCTCTAAAGCAAGGTCCTCAATATTGTCGCCAAGTTCTTCCATGGGACCGCCAGAGATGACCAGCTGGCTAACCTCCTCGGTAACCACGATCTCATTCTTGGTCGGATTGTTCATCCAGTCACGCTTAGTGAGCAACCTCATCTTGGAGTATCAGAGTATCAGCTTGTCTCGGAACCTCTAATGAACAGAAACCGCTGCCTCAATCTCATCGTATAGCGATTCCGCTTCGAGCCGTGGAAGTAGGAGTTGTTCTGATCACTCTCGATGTTCTCGGTAGAAGTCGTCTGACGTGTATGTGGTCGCGACGGTAGTTGTGATGGTCTCATTCCGGACGCGAGGCTCCAGCTTGGTTAGTAGATTGGGGAGAAGCATATCTGCTGCTGGATTTCGCTCTCGACTTGCGACTGTCGTCAGACCCGCGATCGAGCAGTTGAACTGGACCCCAGCGCCAATGGTTCCATTACTTGTCTTATCCGCATAGGCGTCGATCGCCATGCCTGTGTACTGCAGGACAGATTCCAGTTGCCCGACCATCCTTGCCAATACGCTTATAGCTCTAGGAGCAACGATAGCGAGAGCTGTTGGCGCTGGTAAAGTCCAGGCAGCCTCTGTGAATGCAGTATTGTTGTTCTGGATTTCTCGGAGCGTGATAGTTGCTTCTTTATGTCCACCCTAGCTCGACCTTTCAGTCGCTTCCGTGACTCTCGTGCTTTTCATTTTGGCGATAGCGGCTGTAATGCAGCTCTGGTACTGGGCTCATCTGGATCCCATCTGACAAGGCGAAAGCAGACATGTACCAGGTCTTCCTAGAATCTGGCACTAAGCTCTGCGGTGCGAGTAATCGCAATGTTCATTCTCCAAGAGACACAGCACCATTCTTTGACATAGACTCCTGTGTTATGTCGTACGACCATAGTGTGAAGTATATTGTAAAAGTCAAGTATGGATGAGACAAGAAGCAAGAAAAAAGAGTCAAAAAGGAGGTCACTGCATCAGCACGTTTCAAGCACATAGGCACAGGTTGATCAATGGTAGGATGGGACCGTGACATATGTACGCAAGCGTGGTATTCCCGCATCAGCTCAATAAGTAAGTAGTATACAGTGACACGTAATCTAAATAAATAGATATCAGACCCAAAACTCCGCGATTTATCAACACGCAACTATAGCGAATCCTGTTGTGAACCCATTCCAATAACCCCTGTCGATTCGCATTGGCGAGTATCAGTCCAGTTTTCTCCTCGCCCCTTTCCGCTCAACAGCACTGTTTTCACAGCCTGTAAGTCTAATCAGACTTGTCGTTACCGTTCTGTCCTAGAAGACCATCCTTGAGACCAAGGGAGTCGTCCATGCGGAAGAAAGTGCCGCGAGACCGTCTGGTACGGTTGCGGATCCAAGAGTAGAGACCAAAGCAAACGGCAATCACAAATCCAATTGACAGGAATGGGTGGTCGACAAAGTTCATCTTGATGTCGAAGAAGAACTTGGCCAAAGTACCGATAGTGTACTTGGGGGAGATTGGGTTGGGGCCGTAGACGATCTTGTCAAGAGTGTCCATGATAGAGGTATGGCTAACCATGATCTGGTTACCTGTAGGGGTAGTATCCCAGAACTGGTGTCGCTGTGAATTTGTTAGTATAGTCAATCACACAAGGGGTACTTATAATTCTTACATCTTCCTCGTTAATAATGATACGCTCCCCATCTCGAACGTCAATGTTGTACGTAGTGGCAATCCACCTCTGCCAGAAAATACCATCAACCCAAGCGAAGCCAACCTCCTTACGACGGGTAGAGTCCATATCAATCTTGATGGCCTTGGCATTACGAAGGGCACGCTGATCGTCACGGCTCTGAGCCTCCTCGATTCTCATCTGCTTGGCATCCCGAAGCTTCTTACGCTCAAGTTGGAATTCCTGCACCTGGCGATCAACCCACTCGTTGGCCGCGTTCTTGAGCTCTGAGATGGAGTTTTGTAGACGGTCCTCGTCATTGCGGTTCAGAATCGCAAGCACAACCAGCTTGTGGCTCATGATTTGCTTGGCGTTAATAGCAGTCATCTCAGGGACAAGCGGGAGCCAAGTAGACTTCATCCAGGAGGTGAGGGAATCGACGTCTCTCATCTCATCAGGAGTGATAGGGGTGTAGTAAGTGGCACGTCCCTCGCGCGAAACCAAAAGTCTGGGCCAAGTTGTGATCTTGAATCGAGAGCAAAGCTCCTGGTCACTTGTCTTGACAATCTTGCCACGTCCAATGAGGTTGAGCGGGAGGGCGTCCAGTGCCTTGAAGTCCTCCGTAGTAGTTGCGTGATCATAGAAGTAGACAAACAGAACCTCTTCAGTCTTCTCGAGCTCCTTAAAGCTCTCGGCATCGACATCAATAACGCCACCAGCAACCTCAAGAGCGCCCTCGGCGTATGCAACGAAATCACCAACTCCGCGAAGACCCTTGTATTCAGCCTTTTCGGTGCCTGTGACGAAATAGATGGTAGGGAATGCCTTGACGCCCATCTGTGTGCAAAGCTTGTGATCAGCCTCACAGTTGACCTCACCAATGTTGAGCTTTCCCTGCATGTTCTTGGCTAATTGCTGCCATGTAGGGGCCATAGCCTTGCAGTGAGAGCACCAGGGAGCATAGAACTTGATGAACCAGGGATCCTTAGAGCTTGTGACCAACTTGTCGAAGTTTTCAGGGGTCAGAGGCACACTTGTACCCTCCAGATTGTACTTAGGAGTGGTATCCTTGGGCTTGGTCTTCTTCAGCATCTGGCCTGTGCTTGGGACCTTCCAATCAGCGCCAAACGTGTTCTTGTTTTCCTCTTTAGCAGCAGCAGATTCCTCAGGCTTCTTCTCGGTTGATTCGGTCTTATCGGATTTCTCTGCATCCTTGGGTGATTCGGTAATGTCGTCCAAAGACTTGCCCGCATTTTTACCAGCTGGCTCCTCAACCGGCTTTTCAGCAGCGGCGTCAAGAGGCTTCTCGGCGTTAACGGCGGGCTTTTCCACAGGAGCCTTAGCATCTCCCTGAGCTCCCTCCACTTTCTTCTCGGCGGCTGGTTCCTCAGCCTTGGGCGCAGGGTACACAGTATCACCAGGCTGAGGCAACTCCACGAGTGCAGGACGTCCTGGATGGGTTTTGGAAAGCGCATTCTCGACTGAGGTGGTCAACGCTGTCATGTTCTTAATTCCTCGCAGCGTGTCGAACACCTTTCCGTCTTCGTAGAGAATCGTCGTCGGGTATGACTGAATGTTGTGGTCCATGCAGAAATCATAGTAGGCAACACAATTCACCGTTCCGAATGCGAAATCGTAGTACTTTGTGAAAGTGTCGTCGGGGTTTTCGGTCGGGGGCTTCGAGGTGTAGTAAAATTCGTAGAGTGTCTGGAATGTTGGAGCGAATCTCGTGCAGTGCTTACAGTACGGGCTGACAACGCATAAGCATATGAATTACACCCTTACCCAGCTCAACATACCTGTAATGCTTGACCATCCAGAACTTATTCTTTTTTGTTTCCTCCTCCCAGTTTGATGGTGTCAGCTCCTTGAATGGCGGTACTGACTTTCCGTTAAAAGTCGTAGGGTCGGTCACTGGGTTCCTCTCCTCTTCGGCCAGAGCTACAGCTGACAGCCCAGCGAGGATCGCAAGTGGCGAGAAGCGCATGTTGGGCTAGGGGCGCCAAGGTATTATGCGTAGAGTAACTTGGGCTTATATTGTAGAGATCGCACGTCGCAAACGATCAAAGTATATATCGAGGCCGTAACCGTATCAGAGAAGCAAGGTCGAACCAGATTAGGCAGTAGAGCGAGCAATTAGCGACTGGCGATCATATGGGGTGAGGCTGAGGAGCTGAAGGTGTGCGATACGGAAAAGAACAAGAAGGAAATGGCCAGAAAAGCAATCACACGATCACGCTCACCAGGCGCGAAAGGAGACGATGCTGATGAGGGGCAAAAAATGAGAATAGACAAGATAGGGAGAGGATAGATAATAAAGGAGGACAAAAGAGTCGCTATTCAGGAGGCGCATTCGATTCGAGAACACGTTCCGTATGGGAATTCGACGCCACGCCACAGGGATAGATAGTTAGAGGGAGAGGGCCCTTGCTCAGCCACTCCACTCTAAATTGGGACACTTGACTTTGTTTGGTTTGGAGTGTTTTTTGTTACAGGTGAGTTTAGAGATGATGGAGAACATGTCGACCAAAGTTATTGCTGTATAAATCCATCAAGGGCAGTATTTGATATGCTGTAAACAGAGCTACCTTATGCAATTCTCGATAGGAACAATATAGGCAAGCTATCTACTATCTGTCTAACATTTACAGTGAGTGACTGGTGCTGACTGCCTAGAGCATAAGATGTCCCGCTCTGATCAACGACAAGGAAGGAAGCAGCCTAGACGGGTCAGACCAAGGGAACTACCTCCATCAAAGCAACCAAATTGAGTCTCAACTTCTTCTCTTCACAACTCAATCTTCAGTATCAAGCCCCTTCGAAGCAGCGCACTTACATCTGTTTCACGTTAAAAGGATTTCTCCGAGATACACAGAGTAATTTATTTCCCGACCTCGTACATACATGACGATTGCTTCACAAACACCTTCTCGACTGATCTCGAGATTCTCAACTAGCCCTTGTTGGCGCATTGCATCAAGAAACTACCGTCAAACCTATCTCACAACCTTATGTCAAGGTGTTCCTCCAGCCAGCCAACATTCACAGATTCCCTCAGCAAGACCCTACCACCAAACCACCACCATGAATCGCCCGGCCAAACGCCAGCGAATGGAGGAGCCTGATGCCCAAACACCAGAGTCACTGCAGCGCTCTATAACCCCCCCTAGAAAGAGGGACAGAAAACCAACTATCGTGAAGTCCCCATGGCAATTGACCTGGATCCGTGATCTCCCAGAGGGCGACAATCAAGATGCCGTGACACTTAAGGACCTCCTCAGCGATCCTCTCATTTCAGAGTGTTGGGAGTTCAACTTCCTGCACGATATTCCGTTTCTCATGGACTCTTTCGACCCCGACACACGCCACCTCGTCAAGGTACACCTAGTGCACGGCTTCTGGAAACGTGAAGATGTGAATAGGATAGCGTTGGAGGTAAGTTGTAGGATGTGGTCGGGCCACGAAACTGGAGACTCTCTTCCACAGCTAGAATGGCATGCCTTCACGTCCTAACTCTCTACAGACCGCAGCATCGGAATTTGAAAACGTCAAAATCCATATTGCCCCTATGCCAGAGATGTTCGGAACACATCACTCGAAAATGATGATTCTGTTCAGACACGATGAAACTGCTCAAGTCATCATCCATACTGCCAATATGATTCCAAAAGATTGGACCAACATGACCAACGGCGTCTGGAAATCGCCCCTACTCCCCAAACTGTCGGGTGCACAAAGTATTCAAGCTTCACCGGAAGATCATTCTGTTGGAAGCGGACAACGCTTCAAAATCGATCTTCTCAACTACTTAAAGGCCTATGATAGGCGTAAGATCATCTGCAAACCACTAACTGATAAGCTTACACAACATAACTTCTCAAGTATCAAAGCTGCACTAGTTGCGAGTGTACCGGGAAAGCACGACTCCCGGGATATGTCAGAAACTTCCTGGGGCTGGGCGGCTCTAAAAAGGTGTCTGCAGCATGTACCATGCCAAGATCACGGTGACTCAGATATTGTGATACAGGTTTCTTCTATTGCTACGCTGGGTGCAAAGGATGATTGGTTACAAAAGTCTCTTTTTGAGCCTTTGACTCGTTCTAAAAACCCAGGCCTCGGCCGGCCTAGGTTTAAGGTTGTCTTTCCTACCGCTGATGAGATCCGGAAATCTTTAGATGGATACGCGTCCGGGGGTTCCATACATACCAAAATCCAGTCATCACAGCAGGCAAAACAATTGGAGTACCTTCGCCCAATTTTCTATCATTGGGCCAATGACTCACCCCGCGGTGCTAGTGAGTCTAACCTCTACTGTACGCAGTCCTGGGACTTTTTGTCTAATGGTTCACAGAACTTCCCGAAGACACCCCTTTGCGAGAAAGTGGCCGCAAAAGGGCAGCACCGCATATCAAGACGTACATTCGGTCAAACAAATCGTCTATAGACTGGGGTCTTTTAACGTCAGCTAATATTTCAAAACAAGCTTGGGGTGAAGCAGCCAGAGCAACAGGCGAAATTCGTATTGCATCATGGGAGATTGGTGTCTTGGTATGGCCAGAATTGATAGAACAAGACTCGATCATGATAGGCACTTTCAAGACCGACATGCCGGAAAATACACAAAGTACGGGCGAGAAGGATGCATGCAAATCAATAGTTGGGTTGCGAATGCCGTACGACACTCCACTACAACGTTACGCAAGCGAGGAGATACCATGGGTTGCGTCAATGTCCCATACAGAGCCTGACTGGGCGGGTCAGACTTGGATTTAATGATGGAGTTTCATGATATTGGAGTCATGATGAGGCTGCCGATAGGCTTGGCCGAGGAATTGGGCCAATCGACTTAGACAAAGATATCTACAACGGGACGAACTATAACTCAAAGCCTCACCCATGCAAGCTCGGGATACGCCGTTAACCATGATCCCAGATCTGGGCATCACGAACCACAACCCCTTCTTGACGATCAACCCCCGCATCCTGTCAAAGAGAGGCTGAGATACAATTCGCCTATCACGACATTCCGAATCGAAAGATGCGTGTCTTTGACCAGAAGTGGTAAGACTCCACCACGCCAGGGTCAGCCGCCTTTACGGCAATTGAATGGCGCCCTTTGCTGTGGCGAGGCGGGTCGAGTTAACGCTAGCTTGAATGGCAAAGTCAGACTAACAGCAAAATCGGCTTTATTGCCTCTTTTCAATCGGGCCTAGTGATTTGCCTACAACGACATATCTATACAGCCTCCTCATATTCTTATCTAGTTTCCCTCCTCTCTGTTTCTCTGTTTCTCTCTCTCTCTCTTCACGATTGCCATCTGCGCATTGATCTCAATGCATGAGGTTGACAGCACAATTGAACTCACATTGACTACCTTGTATCACTCAACTTTTTCGCACTCCACCATTTGACTCAGTGGCGTCCCTTGTTGCACTCTGAAGAAGTCTCTTTCGTGTGATCCTTGCAGAATTGTCGTCTGAATTTTCATCTGCCTCAAGAAAAGATTCCAGCTGAGGCGACTGTGAGTTGACATGGATCCAATAGGACGAGGAGCTGGAGTCTCGCCCTATGGCACTCCTCGTGGTGCTGGCGCACATCCAGCGCTGTCATCTTCATGGCGTGTGGGCTCACCTCTAGCTGAGGCCGCTCTGGCTGCAGATCTTGCGGCATGCTCGGATGACGGGTTCGAAGACAATGCGATTGACGACGATGTCTCTGTGTCGGACCTTCAGGGCGACCCCATCATGTATCGTCGACCCAGTGGTGTTGCTTTTGGAGGCTCACGACCAATTATGAACCCTCAGACGTATGATGAGCCAGGCCTGACAGCTCTAGAGAGGAAACAGTCTCGTAATGCTGAGCGTAGCTTGCTACGAGACAACCATGTTCTTCCACCCAAGCACGGATATCGACAGGAGCATGGGCTTTTTACTCGCATTTACCGCCGTCTTTTTAGTACAAAGATTGCGCGGGATGAAGAGGAGACGCCTGCTCTAACTGTGCAGCCTCCCAGCGAAACAGATCCTCTCTTAGGTTCTCGTGATGACGGTGTTTTACCCGAGCACCTCAACGATACGTGGGAGCACGCTGTTGCTGAGCATCGAATCAAGACCACTTGGCAGCGAGAGGCCAAGACCATCATAACCTATTCCGCACCACTCATCGTCACCTTCTTGTTGCAATACTCCATTAATGTCACCAGTATCTTTGCTGTTGGGCGAATTGGCAAGCTCGAACTTGGTGCTGTTTCATGTAAGTCTGAAGCTGAATATTCACGAAATAACTGCGAGTACTAACTTGACCAGTGGCCAATATGACTGCTGCTATTACTTGTCTGGCGCCTTTTCAGGGCCTTGCTACATCTCTCGACACTCTGTGCGCGCAAGCATATGGGTCTGGCCATAAGCATCTCGTTGGGCTTCAGTTTCAGCGAATGACTTGTTTCTTGTTCGTGCTCGGTTTCCCTGTCGCTGTTCTGTGGTACTTTTCCGAAGGTATCATCAGAGCAATTGTACCGGAACCTGAATCGGCAAAGCTTGCTGGCATGTATCTCAGGGTCATGATCTTCAGTATTCCGGGATTCATCCTATTCGAGGGTGGTAAGCGATTTACTCAAGCTCAAGGTCTCTTCCGCGCTACGACTTATGTTCTCCTGATTGTTGCACCCTTCAACGTCTTCCTCAGCTGGCTCTTGGTTTGGAAGTTGCAATGGGGTTTCATTGGAGCTCCTACAGCTGTGGCCATCAGTAACAATCTTCTCCCCATATTCCTCTTCTTGTATGTCCGCTTCGTGGATGGACGACAATGCTGGGGTGGATTTAGCCGACGGGCTCTCAGCAACTGGTGGATCATGATTCGACTTGCTCTACCGGGTATGATCATGGTCGAGGCAGAATGGCTGGCTTTCGAGATTCTCACGCTCCTCTCGAGCCGATTTGGACCCGAGTATCTTGCTGCTCAGAGTGTGGTGACAACCATCACAACACTTTCATACGAGATCCCATTCCCTATGTCGATTGCTGCCTCAACACGTATTGCCAACTTGATTGGTGCCGGCCTTGTTGAACCTGCCAAGATGACTGGTGTCGTGGTAAGTTTCTCCTTAAACCAATATTGATATTGTCCGACTAATGAGGTCCAGGCTTTTGTTGCTGCTTGTATCATCGGATTGTTCAACCTAACTATTTACACCACCATGCGCTATCAGCTACCGCTGTTGTTCACCAAGGACGACGATGTTATCGATCTTGTTGCAGCAGTCATGCCCATCGTGTCGGTTATGCAAGTCTTTGATGGTCTTGCAGCAGGTGCTCATGGACTGCTCCGAGGCATTGGAAAGCAGTCGATTGGCGGCCCTGCCAACATTATCGCGTACTACGCCCTCTCTCTTCCATGCTCGCTCGCCCTGGCCTTTGGCCTCGATTGGAAGCTGAGCGGTCTATGGCTCGGTGTCACAGTTGGAACTATGTCGTAAGTTGAAAAGATCCTCGTCCTGGAAGCAATATTCTAACTACTAATATGAAGCGTCGCATCGATTGAGTATATCTACCTACTCCGAACCGACTGGCACAAGGCTGCCGAGGAAGCAGCCCTTCGAAACGCTGCTGGTTAGTGGCGTATGCCCTTGATAGTCTATTTCTTCTTGTTGATCTTGGATCGTCTTGCATTTTTGGAGTCAAAGCAAGTACTGTGGAATTATGCAGTGGTTATATGGCTTGTGGTGATGGCAAAAGGAGGAACAGTTGACGACGAATGCTGACGATTATATGGGAGTCGTGATAGTGCTTTAGCTGGAACTGGTGCAAACAGTCAAATATTAATGTGATGTTTTTGTCGGAGTCAGCTAGATCCGTGCCTGGTGTACTCAACTGTTGCGAAGTTCAACTCATGGAATTCTTTCAATTGAGCAAGTGATTGTGTATAATCATACAAGGCATGTCCGAATCTATGGTATTATCTCATTTCTGCTCTGCTCTGCTATACCCGCTCCCTCGGCGCGGCTCGTCTTCAAGTCTTGACTCATTTTGCGTCTGCGTTTTACCATATCGCTGGCCCCTTTATAACTCCTCTTTCAAGTCCACGGTTTGAAAGTCTGTGCTGAGACCATGTGAACGAGAAACCCGTATAATGACATAAAATTATCAGCTCATTGTGTGATTTCAGCCCAACATAGAATGTGTGCGGATACCCTTGGGACCAAGTTCGCTTTGACACGGTTAGTGAAATTCTTGGAGATGTTCTTTGAGAGTAGGGAACTCACTTGTAATCAACTCTGCTCAAACTCATAAGCCTTTGGGCCTCAATTGTCTGGGCATCCATGTTGGAGTGTAGGCAAAACGCAATACGAGCAGCGACCTGAGCACCAAGGAACATGGACTCCTCGAAGCCATTCTTTGTCCACTCGCTCAAGTAGTTCGGCAGAGTAGCCGTCTTGATGCTCGTGGGAGTCTGGCTGTGGAAGTGGTGAGTCGTCGTGGGTCCTCCAGCCTCAGAAGCTGGCTGCGGCGTGCCGACCATGGTATTAGCGGTACCAGCAGCTGCAGCCGTGGTAGCGGCCTGGAGGAGGGGGTTCACGCCGCTTGAGGATAGCTGGTGAGGTGCGCCTGTGAAGGAGCCAGTGGGAGTTTGAGCGCCGGTTCCAGTGGGCGTGGCCATGTTAGAGGGCAGCTCTGAGGTGAACATTGTGGCGGTGGATGGGGAGACGAGATGGCGGGCGTTGAGGGTCTGAAGAATGTTCTCGCGAAGACCGCGGAGACGAGCACCGTTGCCAACAAAGACAAGGTTGTCCCAGCATGGAGGTCGCATGTACATGTCGTCGATGCCCTGGACAGTGCGATAGATGGCGTTGACGATGCGATCGATCTCGCGACGTTGAGCGAAAGTGAAGCGCTCAAGACCAACCTCGACATCTCGACGAATGCGCTTCGGTCGCTTCTCAGGGGTCTCGCTGGAGGGTTGAGCGTCAGGCTTTGGCTCAGCCTCAGGCTTGGGTTCTATCGACTGTGCTGGCTCTTGAGTTTGTTCTGGCTTAGGCGCTTCTATCGCAGGTGTCTCTGTCTCTGCCGCAGGCGCAGGTGCAGCGGTGTTGTCGGCTTGAGGCTGAGGTTGAGCGCCGTTGGTCTCGCCCTCAGGCTTGGGAGCCTCTGTTGTGCCGTTACCATTGGTAGTAGCCGCAGCAGTCTCTAGAGTCTCCTTTTCCTTGGATGGTTGAGGAACCTCTTCCTGAATGATTTCCTCGTAGAAGAAGGTGTTGTGAGTCCTCTTGGAGTTGGGTAGACGCGCAGCCTTAGCGGCGCCCTCAGCATCCTTTTCGCCCTTCTTTCGACCTCCCTTGCCCTTTTCTTTCTCCTTCTCCTTTTTGGCGAGGAATTCCTTTGTCTGCCCGCTTGTAACGATGGCTGCGACGTCTAGAACTCCATCATCCTCTGGGTTACCATTGCCCTCATCAGCATCTCCATTGTCGGTGGGTTTGGGCGCTTCAGGGGCTTTCGGTGCAGCCTCTGCAATGGCAGAAGCTGGTTGACCGCCTGTTGCGCCTGCAGTGTTCTCCGTGGGAAGTTCCATCAAGTTCTCCTCGGTAGCAACATAGGGGAGGACTTCGCAGATGTTGCTCTTCTTCAGCTGCTCCGCCATTTCATGGTTGAACCCCTTGTTTTCTAGCAACTTGAGCAAGCTCTTTGTGAAAACCTCGCCTCCGCTGATTTCACCATCGGCATCAGATGCGCTGACGTCCATGTGGTTCACAACTCTTCCATCGTGAATTGCTGTAACGTCGACCTTTTGGTAGCCAATGTCCACCACAGTCAGGTTAGGCCACTTCAGACCATACTGCGTAGCGATTCCGCTGTGGATTATGCATAGCGCAGGTGTTCTCGTGTTCTCAAAGACGTATCGGGCAATTGTCTCGCAGTCGGGTCGTGTCCATTGTGGTGAAGCCATGAGCATGATGGGAGTGTTGTGGTATGTAGTTGTAAGCAAGCCGTGGACATGATCGAGAAAAGCGAGGAGAGCGCTCATGTTGACGATGCGACCAGCTACAAAGATGCGCAATTAGCATTGAGTCCTTGTACGGCCTTCAATGGCTGTATACACATACCTTCAATGGGGTACACAGCTCCCTCGTCTTCATCAACATCCTCCAACCATTCCTCTTCCTCAACACCATTCACAATAGTCGTGCGCTTCGTCTTGTGATAGGGAGCCCACTGATCGCCCTCCTTAAACATCCTGGTAGGCATGCGCCGAGCAGGAGGAGTCAATTCACTGCAACCCAGCTGAGCCATAGTGGTTCTGCTGCCAGGGCAGATGATGAGGACCTGCTCCTCGCGCCATTTGCCGGCCGTGCTTGACATTGTGCGATTTCGCTTCCTCGCACTTGCACCGAGATCGAGGCTGTTGTTGTAGTGGTAGTTATAGTGGTTGTGGTATTTGTGTGGTGATGGCGTTACTGAGCCGTTGTTTCGTCGCGTTGGTGTTGGTGTTGGCGAGGCTTCTCGAGGTTTGCGCGCCCGGAGCTGGTACCGGGCTGAGGACGACGCGACAGGCGTGAGTGTGGCTGGTGTCGCAGCATCTTGAGCGCTGTGGTGCACGTGACCACCCTGGTCTCTTCGTTGCTTGGTTGGAGTTCTATAGGCCATCATGACAGACTCAAAACTTGCTCAGAACGTGCTCTAAATGGTATCAAGAAGCCAAAATGAGACTCAAACTTGAAGAGTTGTGAGTTCCATCTCTAATGTAATTTTAAATGCTTGGAAGCAGTGTAGGCAAACCATTGAGCTATTGTTGTTGTCACTATCAATTCTGCCAGTGCAGTGCAGTGCAGTGCCAGTCAAAGAAGACAGACCATTCACCTCAGACACTATATTCATTCATTCATTCATTCATTCATTCATTCATTCATTCATTCATTCATTCACAATCAATTATAGGAAACAATAAAGCCAGTTCATACTGTATCTATTCAATGGCATTAGGAATAATACTTTATCATAGTCTGACCTCTAGACTATACCAGGCCAGGCCTCCAAGAAACCACAACTAACTCCAGGTACACGGATCACTTGCGTTCTTCAAGGATCCTTTCCTTTTTATCCATATGTTCAGGCCTTACTCGTCTCATCTCTTCTCGTCTCATCCATCCCATGACACATCCAGTACATCGACCAAGACCCATTCCTCTTCTCATCAGTTTGCTCCTCGAGCTGGTATAAGCTATGCGCTGCTCGAGAGAACTGACAAAGTGGTTATGACCAACCCAACAAACGCCATCAGGGGTCTCAAATCGGATCCCCGAACACACAAAGATCCCATCATAACGTACATTTTCACCAAAGTATTGACAAGAATGCGCAAAAAAAAGAACTTCTCTCAAAAAGCCGCCCAGTAATTACCCATGAAAAGTGCAGGTCGTGCGCCATATCCCATCTACTGATGTAAAACCATCGTCGTTCTCAATTATACAACCGTGATCGTGTTGGGAGTTGTCTCATTCGATGTCATCTTCTTCAAGTCTTCATGTTTTTCGTTCAGCTCAGTTGGCTCAGCCTCCTTAGTTGGTTCCACCTCCTTTGATGGCTTTCGTGGGGTCACGTCTTCAGTCACATCGTCAATGACCGAGAAAGGTCGGTCAGATGTCGGGGTTGTAAGTGTGGAACCATCAACGCTCCATCGGTCATCAGTAACGCCAGTGTAGATGGATGATGTGTGCTTCTTCTCGGGTGTCACGGGGCTTTCTGCCCGCTCAGTCTGGGGAAGTGTAGGTGATGTCTGAGCATCCTTGGTCTCAACCTTGGATTCAGTTGCAGCCTCCTCCTCCTCCTCTGGCTTCTCGATCTTGGCGGGCTCAGTAGTAGGCTCCTTTGCTTGAGGCTCCTCGGTCTTGGCAATATCCGTCTTTGCCTCTTCGGCTGGGAAGAACTCGACTTCAGATTCGGAGGATGAGTCATCTTGAGCCTTGTTCTCGACAGTCTTGGGCTCATCGACCTTGGGCTCATCGACCTTGACCTCATCGACCTTAGCCTCCTCAGCCTCAGATTCTTCTGCCTTTGGCTCCTCAATCTTGGGCTCTTCGGCCTTCTTGGTCTCAACTCTGACCTTCTCAACCTTGAACTCCTGGGGCTTGAGATAAGGTGAAGAGTCAGACTTGGTCTGCTCATCCTCAGATGCCAGATCTTCCTCGCTGAAAGCCTCCTTTCGCAGAGGGCTTCGGAGGTTTGAGACATCGCCGATCTCGCTCTTACTGGATCGCGAGGTCCTAGCAGGGCTCCTCATGGGCAGCGGGGGAGGAATCCTCTTGCCAATGGTAACCATGTTACCCTTGGCGTGGATCATGCGGGATGCAACAGCCTGGGTTCTGGCCGGCTGGACAGCAGCCACCTCGAACACCACAGGCTCCTCCTCCTCGTCTTCCTCCGCCTCGCTTTCGGAGTCACCCTCATTGTCGGTCTTTCGGCTGCTCTTGTCGTCCCTGTCGCTGTCATAGTTGCTCGAGGCCTTGTCAGTGTCATCCCGGGGCTCGACCTTAAGGGTGTCTTGTTCCACAGCTGTTGTGCTACTGTGGCTGGTCGCACTGAGAGGAGTATGGGCTCCGCTCAAATGTCTTATAGGGGTCAGATCGACCTTTGTGTAATCAACTTCCTCCTCTTCCTCCGTGACCTCGGGAATTTGCGTGCGGGTAGACCTGTCAAAACCGTCTTCGCTTTGACCTGGGCTGGGCGTTGTCTCGGGTGTTGTGCCCACATCCGTCTGTGTTCCAGCATCTGTCATTTGACTTTTCACCGTTCGTGAGGACATGTAACTGTTTCGGTTACTCCTCGTCACAAAGGTGTCTATACTTTGCCTGTTGAATTTTGAGAATGCTGGGCTCGTAGGCGCGGGGTTGAAGTCAAATTGGCTGCTGGTAGGTCGCAGTCTTGATCCTGCCTCTCGAATTTCCAAGCCAGCCATCTCGAGAGCCAACACGCCAAAAGGATCGGGATCATCGACATTGGGGATTCCAAAGGCAGTTCGAGGCGAGGCGGGTGTCGAAGATTTGGGTGTCGCGATCATGGCGTCTCCTGGCGCACATTCCGCAGCAATTTTGCTTATCACAGAGGCATCGTAGTCTGTCCTACCTTCTGCCATCTTGATAACCTCTGAGAGCGGGCCTACCTCCTCTACTTGGCGAGAGACGTTACCAGCCAGAATGTCCATCTGTGTTACCTGATTGGAATAGAATCGCTCATTCTCGTTCCCTCGCTCGGCCAGGATACACCCGTTCAAGTTGACGACCTGATTTTGACCCCGCGCTTTCAGGTATGTCAAAACGGTATTTCCCAGGTCCTTCCATTTTATGTGCGACTCATCTGAGTCAAGCGATACAAGGGGGCCACTAGTTAGTCCGACGTCTTCGCCTAGGGTGACACGAGGCTTTGTGATTGATTCGAGGGCGGCAAGGTTGTTAATAACGAGAACGCAATCGTAAACATCGACGCCGATAATAAAGCTGAGGGTGGGTGTATGTAACATGATTCCTGATGGGGGTGACCAGGTACCGTCTGACTTTCGTGCTATGAGAATGCCGGAGCCGCCGGAGCCTGTCATGTACAGACCGCTGCGCATGCAGGTAAAGATGGCGATTCCGGCTGCGTTCTGGATGATGCGCTTGGGGATCTTCTTGGTGACTCGTTTTGGGGAGCGTGGTTCACTTGTCGTCGATTGTGCGTCTTCTTCTTCCTCCAATGGCACGAGATATCCATCCGCTGTGTAATCATGTTAGCAAGAAAATGAGGCTGACAAGCAAAGTGAGACAAGCATACTGCAGAAAGACTTGAGGATGCGGGCAGCCTTTTCGCATTCGAGATCCAGAGTGGCAGGCCAGAAAGCCTCCCGCTGTACTCGGCCACTGGCATTAGCGGCCGCAGTATTTAACCTGGACAATGCATTGGAGTTTGCGACGGATATGGAGGTGCTGGAACGGTTGGAGGACCAGCCAAAGAGGCCAGCTCTAGAACCTCCCGACGACCTCTTGTCCCACGAGGGGAGAAAGGAAGAAACTCGCTGCATGGCGGGCCGTCTTGCCTCTCCGTCGCCGCCGTCTTGGCCAGGCGGAGGCACGACAGAGAGGACGGGAATACAGGGCGCGGTGCTGTTATTGTTACTGCTAGAGATGATTGTCGTGCCAGAGCGGAAGTGGACGGATCTCTTTGGGGGCTTGGTCGGTACAGATACGGGAGTAGCGAATGTTGATGCAGATCTTGGAGTTGGAGATGCGACAGACGAGGCAGGAGACGAGACCGGGGTTGTTGTTGCGGTGGTAGTGGGCGAGCCGTATGATGATGTTGGTGTAGATGATGCTGTAGTCGAGGAAGAGGAGACAGAGGAGACGGAATTGGAGTCGGAGAGAGGATGAACAGTGACGAGGGGTCTCTTGAGGGCCGAATTGTAAGCGGCGACAGCTGAAGCGTGAGAATGGGAGTGGGAATGAGAGTGAGGATGAGAATGAGACGGCGCCGAAGCCGAGCTGGCGTGTTGATGAAGGTGGGATCGAAAGTAGTGTCCGCGCTGGTCCTGGTGGGTGCTCGTAGTGCTTGTGCTTGTGCTCGGGCACTGACTTGGACTTGGACCTGGACTTGGACTCTGGCTTGGGCTTGGACTGGCTGAACTATTGCTAGCGTTTGCAGCAGTAGCGCCTCCAGCAGTAGCAGCAGAACCAGAAGGCACTGAAATGGGACAAGTGGTCCCCTGGAATCACGATGTTAGCTGTAAAGTTTACAGGGCTTTCACTTGTACATGTAGAGTGAGGTGACCTGTCAGCGCGGGCGGGTGGGTGACGTGGGCCGCTGAGCCATTGGGACAGGACCGGGGCTAGGCCGCTGTAGGCTACCTTCAGCTGCGGCCTGCTCGGTTTTTGCGTTTTTGCAAGGATCCGCGCAGGGGCAAGCAAGGAAATGGAAAGGGAAGAATGAGAGAATGGGATGGGATGATCCGCCTTTGAACAAGCCTCCCCGGGTCAAGATGAGACTCGATCAAGAGGGGACGGGGACTGGGGGGGGACAAAATTGAGGGTGAGAGGAGGATGGAAGAGACGAGAGAATAAAGTAAAATGGCTGTTGGGGTTTGTTGCAATTGATGTGCTGTGTCATGATATAGCGTTTCCTCATTGGATTGAATTTTATCGAGTGCTTTTCCATCGGCGCAATTGACTTTTCCTAGAAAACTCACTTCCTCACTCTCTTTCAACTGATCATCATCTTTTTTTTCTGGCTGCTCCCGGTAAAGGCTCAGTCAGGGGGGGCAGCCTCTTGGTCTGATGACGGAACCTCTTAAAAACTTCCAGGGACTTGGGTAACGCCCCTAAACCCAACTTTGACAAGGTGTAGTTACTGCGTAGGCTGCCCTGAGTAAGGTAAGGCGTAGACTAGATGGCTGATGGGGGGTCGGGAAGTGAAGCGAGTGGGTGTGAAGCACAGCACATGTGAATGAATGGACTTTCGCTGGAGGGGGAAACAAGAAGAGAAAAGAAGACAGTAATAAGAGAAAGGAAGTAAAGAAAGGTAAGGTACTGACCGAGTTGCTCGTTGTGTTTGTTGAAGCTGTCTTTGTAGAGCTCCATCGCCCAAAACTCCATCCTCCTCCTCCTGTTCCATTGCTTCTTCCACTGCCCTTCATGTTCTCCTTCTTGTTGCTTCCTGCAATGCCGCTGATACTCAGCTTCTTCTTTCGCGCCGCCGTCATGAGGAATTTCCGATCTGTATGTTTCGCTTTGTTGGTTGAGAGGCTGGTACTAGACCGGGAGCAGTACAGCACCAGTTCAGTTCAGTTCAGTTACTGCGGCAGCAAACATCTCGTCAGCTCAATCCCAGTCTCCAGTCCCGGTCAAGCTCATGATGGTGTGTGCGGGTGACCCTGCACATGCTTGCATATTGGTGTGTGTGCCTGTGTGTGCACCTGGTGTATCGAGTGCAGTGCGTGTGTTACGATGCTGGAACAAGAACAAGCACCATCCCAGACTATTCAGCTCGTCCCGAAAAGGTACAGCAGATCTCGGATTGGATGCTCGACATCGCTATGGGTCCGCGATGTAGCAGTATCATTGCATCTCTTGATGTTGATCGTCACTTGACTCGAGCCATCATAGTCAAGTATAAGGCCACATCGTGATAGCAATGAATGATGAGGAATAAAAAAGAGGATTAATAAAAAGAGACAAGAAATATCGTACCTGTTTGAGCAACGTTGTACTTGTGCTCCCAACGGTTCCTCTCATCGCCCGTTTACTGTCTGTCCTCTCTGTGTGTCTCTTTCGTCCTCCTCCCTTACACCTATACCAGACAGGTTGTGTATAGGTCCGAACACGATTTGCAAAAGACAGCAAATCAAATCACGGAAAAAAAAAACAGCATAAGCAAAGACAAAGAAAAGAATGCTCAATGAAGAGATCGAGATCGTTGAAGCAATGTAAGAACAGGTTGAGCTTTGTAAGATTGAGAAGAAAATCACAGAACCCTCAACATCAGGAACGAAGTAAAGGGAGAGGGAGAGAGAGACGACTTCAAGGGTTTTTCGTTTCGTCGTAAATAGGTGCATATATAGACACATGCAGATACATAATGCTTCACATTCCGCATCTACACTCCCTCGCTGTATATGGAATCCACCAACAAGATGCGCCATGTGCGGGAGCAGGCGAATTGCCATACATGGTCCTCTGGCTGCGTCTATTCTTTGCCCTTTTTTTTCTTCTGGTCTGCCTCATCTTGTCTTGTCTCTGCCTCTACGCCACGCGACCCCTGTCCACGAGCAGACCAATCCTGAGATATGATGGCCGAATTTCACGATTGGGGGGCAATAGCTGCATTCCAATGGTGTCTCATCATTGTCCTCGGCTGGGAGGGCATTGCTTCTGTTCAGAATATATGGCCGAAACCACGGTTTAGTGGACTTGCAACCGTCACATATCAGAGGAATACTTACATAGTCATTCAGCCAGCCAATAACTATAGTTTGTCGTTATATGCAAAACACAGTCGTATCAGAATTGGATACAATAAAAAGGAAACACCAAGAGAAAAAAGAAACTCTAAACGTCTAGCACTAATACAGCATGTACATACAGTACTGACTCAGGAATGTGCAGAAGCTCTAACAGCTAATAGGCACTCTTCCACCATTAACGTGCTCAAAACTCAATTAAAGACTAATGATCTTGAGTGAAATTTCTTTCTTTTAGTTTTATGTCCCCAGATTGTCGAGGTCTAGCGAGTCAAGATGAGATAGTCTTTGATCATGATCAACCACACCAAGACGCTACCTACTCCGTACAGCTACAAGCAAAAAGAAGAGTCTAGAGAGCTACGGCGGCGCATGGCAAAAGCGGGTCGAACAGACTAGGCTAGTCTAGGGCCTTTTTCAAATCTAACGGTCTTCCGCGGCCGGGATGTCACTCTATCCCATCCGTTTCCTACTGTACCTTACCTTAACCTTCTCGACATTAGACTTCTGTAAACAGTTACAGATAAGATTATATCTCTCACTACTGCTCCTGATCATGGATGTCTGGCGTACGCAAGCCATGACGTGCAAACGGCAGCAAGACTGAGGCGTTGAAGCTGGCATCCATATCCTTAAATCTGCGTTTGCATTCCAGCACCAAGATTCGCAGCCCTCTTCAAGGCGGGAGACGATATTAATTTGACGAGCCAAGACACTTGTCAAATCAATCATTATAGTTAGTAATTTGCTCGAAACAAAGGGAACGTAATATCCGGGTTCTGTGAGCGAGCATAAGCCATAGTCCAAGGTATCTTGATAGATTAAACCTGCGGGTCAAGGGTTTTGATAATTGCAGGGATAGCTCCAGATCAGATTAGTACAGAAAACAATTTATTTTCCGCGTTTGACGCTGGGATCCCCCTTGATTAGGTTCATTGAGTCTTTTTTCCCTCTTCCTTTAATAAATCAAACCCCCATTTGACATGTGTATCAAGGGGTGATACACAAAGTCCCTGGAAACTCGAGACGAAGTTACATACAGCAAAACGGCATGTTTCTCTGGTAGTTATCTGTATGTAGAGTACAACGTAACATATTAATTTCCTTGGGCATATTTGAAAGGATGCACTGCTGCATGTTCTACGCTAGTTATGTTAGACAAGCATTATAATTTCTTTTTTTTTTTTCTTACTGCTCATCGGTCGTCGTTCTCTGGGAGACGGGGCTTGCTAGTACTATAGCCTGCGTCCTCATTTATCTCGTGCATAATATAAACGGTTCATTACTTGATTAGTCTGATATGGGTCAACAGCCAGTCAGAGTTGACAGTTTGCTTCTGTCTTTGAGGCCATTATTCTCCCCAACAGTTGCATTCACTCGGTTTGGTCTTGTTGGAATGGACAAGGCCTGTCCCGAGCTTCATCATGGTCTCAGAGTTGACGCTCTATGCAAGCATCACGAACCACGTGTAACCCGCCTTGCATTTGCATTAATTAATTACTTTTCCAGGTCTTGGGTTCTCTCTCCCTCCCTAGAATTCTAGTCCTCGCCCTATCATTCCAGGAGCCCTCGTGCCGCCTCAAAGGGGAATGTTTCTGAAACAAGGCTTGCAGTACCGAGAATGGCTTGTGTCACCGGCTTACGACTGCGGCCGATATTAGCTGCTGCTGCTGATGCACGCACAGATATTCACGACCGTTTCTAGTTGCAGAGAGCATCAACCATTAGTTCATATGCTATCGTGATGAGAAATGGAAGTGACATGCTTTAGTGTCCAGCGAAACTCGATGCGTCTAATAAACCGCGGATGCACGGCCGGCATTAGATTGCATTGGATGCTCTGAGACAAGTTTGCAAGTTTAAGACAAATCCTACCAAGAAGCAATTATAATCATTCATTCATTCGTCCATCTCATCCCCTCCAACCCCAGGGTCTTGTGCTCTCCCTTCAGTTGCCACTCGACTTCAACTTCATCTTCATCTTCAGCCAAGCCTCGAACACTTTTTTGGTAAAGAGGCGCGGAAGCGGCTTCTGCTCGTCCCTCAACTCTTCTCTTAATGTCTCGGGGATTGCTGCAGCCGTTGATTCTTGTCTTGAAGAGTGTTGCCATTTCTCTTCACCAGAATTTTCTTACAATCGAATGACGTGCTATATACATTCCTCTGCTTTTAGCACCGAATAGACTTTCATTAATGCTATCGTCAAGGTTTGATCGATCGCGATATTGGTCTCGATTTCTCAAGCATCATCCTGTCAACCCCCTATCTATTGCTTCCATAGCGTGCTTTTTCTGTGCAGATATCACTAGAAAGTATGCAAGAGGGAAGAAGGCAAATTTCAGGACATACCTGGGGTCTCTGCTGTGCCGTTCGTATTCTCAAAGCTGTCTGGTAAACGTACAATATCTAAGACTCATCATACTATGGCTGACATACCATGCTCACTCTTGTTGAATCAAGTGCCAGACCCTGAAGTACACGTGAGAGGAGTGTTTCCTCTGATGGCTATTGTAATGTAGCAACACCTCCGACATGTTAGGCCACTGGAAGTTCGGAAGAATTATGTGACAGAAACGTTGGATGGCGTATTTCACATATTCTCAAGGCTTGGTGTTTGTCTCAACGCCTTATTATGCAAAGTTGAAATGTCTAGGTTATTTTCTCGAGATGCTGACCATGCCTTCAAGACTTCGGAGGGTTGATAGAGCTGATCCTTGAGAAAGATGTGAGGAACACGATTATGAACATGAACGATGCAACAAGCTCACCTTCTGTAACCATAAACTCCTTGTGAATAATTTCAGCCCAATTTGATTTAAACTGAGCTATTCTTGTTGATATACCTTTGGTTTGCACTATCAGCCAGTTCATAACTCCTCGCGAAAGGGCAGGCCTCTATTGACTCCTGAAGATGGCATTTCCGAGAAACTTGAGCCTCTACACTCTCGAAGCATATATATAAATAGTCCCAGTTGTTGCATTACGTTTGATAGTTTGGCCTTATTGGTTCTGTACCATATGCTGGCATAATCAACTACATCTTATGTGAACTGGACAGCTCGGCTGTCCTACTCCAGAACTTCAATGTTTAAATCACATCTACTTTAGAAGCTGCTACCGTGCCACTCGAGATTTAAAAAAGAAGGAAGAAATCACATACTGTTAACAAATTTCTGTAGATAAGGCTAGTTAGAATATGCTCCCCAACATCTCCCTAAAAGGACAACGTCCCAATATTCGCTCCCTATCATATCTTTGTGCGCTCACCTCATTATCATAAAACTCCAAAGCAAAACTTTCCTTCTCATCATAATTCATTACCCTTCAACTATCTCATGTCCATCACCGCCTATTTCACACACCCTTTATATCCTCCACAGAGGCTGAGGATACTCCCCTCCTTCGAGAATATACCTCTCAAGCCTTTCACTCTTCTCTCCCATGAGCCTAACAATCGTGTCCACAGCAGGCACGTCGTTACGAAAGAAGATCTGATACCAGCCCACGTTGTCACTGAATCTGCCATTGATTCGAACCGTCTCCAACACCTCGAGTTTCTCCCTCATGAGCTTAAAGATGAAATCCCAATCAATGTCAGTTGAACTGAAAGGATCACACCATCCATATATACTCTGCAGGTCAACTTCCTTGAGTGTTGAACGGTGTTCGATAATCAGACGGACAAAGTGCACAAAGTTGATCTGTAAACAGCTTAGGTCGATCTTCTCAAGGTGAGGAAGCCTCTTCTTGATGTAGAAGTCAAGATCGCTGGCTTCGAACTCGACAGGAGTGCTGTGGACTTTTAAGTCTCGGATGTTGGGCATCAGAGAGATGAAGTAATCGAGGCGGTCTGGCTTGAAGGAGATGACGTCGTATTTCAGATGCAAGTGCAGCTGGGTCACCGACCCAAAGACTGTTGATACTCTTGGGTCCAGCGTGGATGGTAGCTTCAGGTACGGATGCATTATCGGCTCGAGTGTCAGACTCTTAAGCGGTACGTTGCGTCTGAGTAGAGCATCCAAGATGGCTTGCTGTGACTCTAGAATCTCATCGCCAGCTAATTCCATGGATTCTTCCGGGTCAAAGACATCTTCAATTGCCCTATAGTCTTCCCAAGGACACTGCGTCCAAGTCAGGCACACGGAATCGAGATTGGGTAGCCTCATGATAGCTGGAACTACCAGGTCAACAGGCAGCTCGATTGGGTCGAGGAAGATATCTTGAGTCTCGAGATAAGGACCCCAGGCTCGATTCAGTTCATTTGCGTTGATGATTCGCGATGTAGCGTATTCGACCTCTTCCTCAACCAAGCGAGCCATGTTGAACTTGACCGAGTGAATGCGCCTTGCGCAGCTCGGTATAAGGGAAAGATGATTTAGCCTCTCTCCATCTTTCCTCCACGGGACGCCATCGAAATTGGGCAACGCAAGGAGTGGTTTGGTACATTCCACAATCGCTCTACATGAGAGTCTGAAGTTTTTGAGATCTCGGCTTGATAGAAAAACACCAATGTTGTTGATGAGCTCGTATGGGAGATGTGTAAGGCGGGGCTGCGATTGCGGTGACGTTGCTACTGGCTCGTGATGCTCCATGATTTGTTCTTGTTCCTTCGAGTGAGCTTTGTGTTGTTTTGTGTACTTTTATGTGAGTACGAACAAGTAGTCCCTTATATCTCTGACTAGTAGGTAGTATGTTTGTACATGTTCATGTCTAGAGATGAGGAGAGTCCAGCTTCAATCTTGTCCTCTCTTGACTGGAACCTCGGAGCTGAGCTACCTACTGCCACGCCCCACGGTAAACCTATCACGTTCTTTTCCGCATCAAACATCAGCCTCTGTCTATTTCCATCCCAGTTCTCATCCGCCGATTCACGGCGATACGCCTCATCGCCTCTCCAACGCCTCAAGTGTGAGTATTCCCCCAGCAAACTGTTGAGCTTATGTGCTTATGACAGTCATTTTTTAAAGGAGACGAAGGTCATGTGACTGGCTATTCTCGTCTTGTCCTCATTGTCCCATCATCACATCAACCATCATGCTCAAGTAAGTTGCCTCATCCTCAACCGTAGCTCCCAGCACGAGCTCGGACTTACATACACAACCAGGGCTTACAAGAACCTCTCACCCAAGACGCGCCTCGGCGTCGGTGTCGCAATCATCGCTTGGGGCGCCGGAGGACTCATGTTGACTGATCCACTTGAGAAGTCTCTGGGCTTGACCCCAACTGAAGAGGACAAGGCTGTGCTGGACAAATACACACCCAAGATCACCACTGTTGACAAGAACGAGAAAGATGGGAACTGAACTAAAAGGTTGGCAATACATATATAATAAACCATACCTACACGTCTCCCATGGACAGTGTTTCGTCAAGTATACCTAGTGAACAAAGCGCAGCAGAGTCAAGGATTGATCTCATTACATCAGAAAATAAACGCATAACATAATACTTCACAATTGGGCATTAAGAATATAGGCAAACATCATTAACCTGCTCCAAGCCATCAAGTCATGAATGGTCTACCGGTTGACCATCAACCGGTTAGACCTCCCTTTCTATCTTGATCAAAGTCTAATATGCAGTTACAACTCCTCTTCCCGTCTATTCTCGACAAATGCATTGCACAACAGTGCCAACCATGGATGTGTGAGGCCAATCCGGTCTACCTTGAGATGACCATCACATTGGTGAAACCCAGTGACCCAGGAAACAAAGAAAATGAAGAAAACAAAGCAGAATGCAGCGCAACGCCTCCAGATGCAGCCCCCGCCCCTATAGTACTTTTTTTGGTTGTGTAAGAAATTCATACTACCGTCCCTTTGTCAAGCTCCGTCTTGACAGACGCAGTGCCAGCGTCTTCCACCACTTGTGGAAGTGGTTTGAATAGTTTTGCCATCTCTAATGTGAGATCCATTGCTCCATACTGATCATCAATCTCTCCGACAGAACCTAATTCTTCTCCTCTGCTCGCGCCATCTGACATCACCCACGACTTCACCGACTTCAATAATTGGATAATTTGGACAAAGCGTGCATCCGACGACAACCGTAAGTCCGCTGTTTGCGTGTGCTTGAGCAGGTAGTTGGAAAGCCAATAGAAATGGATACCATCTCGCGAGAACCCGTGCCGTCGAGGATTGCTAGATCCCGGTAATGTTGGCGGGAACTGATTGGCCATGTCCGCATCCCAATTATTCTTGAATTTGCTCAGAGCGATAACAAGTGCCTGCAGACTTTGTGGGTCAACGTTGGCAGCCGCCCCCTCCACAGGAGTACCCCGTCCACTATTGTGACCGGCTGGAGTCATCCAATCGTTGGGAGGAGGGGTTCCAAATTTGGACAGCTGAGCCGCATTGCCGTCAATTTGGGCCCGCCGAATCAGAGCCAATATGCCATGAATGAGAACAAACTTTCCATAAAGGTTTGTACTTCCAGGCTGGATCTGATAAGAGGGGTGCAGCAGAGCTTTGAGAGCCCAGTCCATCTCAGGTTGTTTTGGTCGCTGAGTGCCATAAGGATTCTTCTCGCGAGCGGCAACATCGCCGTTGAGGCCAAGCGCAGAAGCACAGTCCCCGGCATTGTCCGCATCCCAAGCTGTGTCGTCGCAAGGCAAAGGTAGATGGAATTCCATAACATCGAACAAGGGTTGAGAATTGAAATAAAGTCCCATGGCAACGTCCATTAGAAAGACGCCAAACATTAGACGATTTCGACGCTCTTGATCGACCCAAGTATCCCAGTTCCATTGCTGCAAATCAAAAGTGTTGCGGTCAAAATCGATTTGGTGAAGGGGTGACAAAGAAGCAGGGTCCCGCGACGACTGGAAAAGATTTAGTCGCCTAGCGTTGGCTGCAAGAGACGGGTAGATCTGTCGAGCCCGCTCTCTTTGTTGAGGGTTTCCATTCCAAAGTAATAATATACATGTTAGCAAGACAGCCTGAAGCTCTTCAATATCAGCCCGAGATGCGTGACTCGGTTGCCCTGCCAAAGGTTCAGCATTAGACATCATCTTGCAGTCGCGTTGAAGTGCGACAACAAGAAAATCCATCATTTCGCGAACATTGGACGGGGTGACATTGTCTGAGTAACAGGCGCCGATGCAACACATGCCTGCAAGTAAGCCAGTATACGCCTCCATGACCTTAAACGTCGCGACATGGATGAAAGGCATGTGGATGTGGAAGTGAGTGTACTTGTCCAAGAAGTCCTTGACGTTGTCAGGCGAGAAGTAGAGATTCATGCCCGCGCTAGAAGGATCGATGGCTTGATTAGGAGGATAGAAAAAATTAAGGATCTGATCAGAAAGAAGATTGTATGAGGTTTGGTGAGATGGCATTCCCATATTCGACAAAAGGGTGTCGCTGGCGCTGGCGCCTGTCGTTCCGGGCCCGGCATTAGGTTCGGGTTTGATTCCGCTCTGAGTCTGTCCAAGATTAGGATTGAAAGATGTGTTGACGTAGGTTTGATGCGCACCAGCCTGGAACATCTGAGACCAATCAAGGCCAGATGGAGGGTTTGTGTTTGAGCCGCCGTACATGGGCAGTCCGTTCTGAGCGGGAGGCATGCTGTAGCCAGTCATCTGCTGCTGGTTCATGTTGGGGTCAGCGCCATAGGGCTGCGAAGCACCCATGACCTGACCGTTCATGTTCCGTCTGTCAGCGTTGTTACCGTTGTCGAGACGACCAAGCGAGCTGGATCGAGAGAGTTGGCTCTGATCCTGGGCCATGTTGTTCATGCCATCCGAGACTGGGACCATGCCAAATGGGTGGACCATGTTGTCTGCGGGCAGGTTACCCAAGCCGTTGAGGTGGTTGAGGTCACCATCATGGGCGAGGCCGGCGGCCTTCTGAGCCTGCTGCTGGTTCTTCTTGACGTGAGCCTGAGGGTGCGACAAGTGACTAGCTCCAGTGGGGTTGCCACGGCGGATAGAGCACTTTTGGAAGTGACGCTTCAGGATATCACTTCGAGAGAAGGTATCGCGGCAAAGAACACACATGTAAGGGCGGTCACCGGTGTCTGTGAGAAAGAATGTCAGTAAAATCTGTCAGTGTCAACAAGCTGTTATACTCACGTCGCAGAAGGTGGCGCTTAAGATGCTTGGCATGGAGGTAAGTCTTTGTGCAGTGGGGGCAAGGAAATTTGCCATCTGCGTCCTTGACAGGAATCACGGTGTTCTTGGCGCCAGTACCAGCGGCTGGGGCAGCAGGCCGCCCAGGAGCACTAGGCAGGATACCGCGTCGTCCCTGAGATCCAACAACGTGAGTGGGAGGCTCGCCCTCTGGCATCACTGCAGTGGGCTGCATAAGAGAACCAGGACCATAGGGCGACGAGACACCAGGTTGGGACATGATGCCTCCAGGAGGCATAGGACGCAACACCGGAGGACCGCGACCGCCAGCAGGAGCAGGCGCGATAGGCTGTGGGTGAGACGCGGCAGTGGTCGCCTGCGGCATCATAGCAGAGGTGCCATAAGCCTGGGGAGGAGGATATTGGTTCTGGGCCATTGAGTACATACCAGCGCGGTTCGCGGGCTGCGATGTCTGCTGCTGGTAGGTAGGCATGTTGGAGGCCGACCCAGGCGTGTTCGGGGTGCCTGGGGTTCGCGGCGTGTGAGGGTGACTTCCGTACATGTTCTGCATGGCCGAGGTTGGAGGCTGCAGCGGTGGCAGAGTCTGAGGTAGAGGAGAGCCGGTTTGAAGTTGGTTGGGAGAAATCGCGGTTGGTGAAGGATAAGTCTGACCAGAAGAAGTCGTGTTTATACCATTGGAGGGATAGTGAGGACCGTCCATGCTACTCTTGGTAGACGCGAAGCTGGTGACAATCGTCGTGGTGTTGAGAATACCGCGACGCAAAAAAAAAGCTGCCCGGGGTACGATGGACCTTGGTGGATGACAAGTCCAAGTCGAGGATTGCGGAGAAAGGGAGAAAGAGGAGGGGTCTGGGAGTTTTGCAAAACTTGAGAGAGCAAAGCAATATCAAATGCAATGCCTTGTAGAGCTCCGCAGAAGATGTTCCCGGATGGTGGAGGATGAGGCTCGTGGCAGGTCCCTCTTTGAAGGTAGTGGTTTGGAGAGGGTGCACAGAGTGGAGAACTGGGTCCCGAACCTTTTTAAGTATTATTTTTTTTCTTCTCGCGGTCTCCTCTAGACGGTCGAGCTGTCAGGGCAGTTTTTGAAAAGGTGGGTAACGTTGAGTGGGTTCAGGG